AGATGACCATACATACCTTATACCGTCCATAAATCCAATTTGGATTGATTTAATTAATTATGTTAAAAATAAAATGACAAATTCTTAAAAGAATTTTTAGCAAATAATAATCTTATTAACTGTTAATATTTTTTTTATAATAAAATAAAATTTATTTTTCTCAAATAAATTAATTATTTTATTTAATTTTATTTATGCCCTTTTATTCCAAAGTAATAATTTATTATTAGAAGGCATATCGAAAATGTTGACAAGTTTTAAATTATTTTTTTCTGCCAATGGTATTAATTGTTGTTGTATGTCTCTCACACCCCATGATGGATCAGACATTCTTAATCCTCTGTCAAATTGAACATTACTTTCTGGTGTAAGAACACCTGTAATTAATAATAATAATAATGTGAAGATTTCAATTACTTTGGATTTATTAAAAAAGAAAATAAAATTTAGTTTGTATTTACCGTTTTGTCCATATGGACCATAAGTTATAAGCCAACCGCCATTTTTTAATAATTTTCCAGCATTATAAAAAAGACCTTCTGTACAATCGAATGATGAAATGTGAATTAAATTACTATTGTAAATATAATCGAAATCATTTTCATTAAATGTTGTTATGGGTTCAATTGTAGAAACACTTTTCTCAGGATCATTACAAATCGGTTTCCATTTAGTAAAATCTTCTCGAATATCTACATAAACTGGAGGTGCGACATTTTTTAAATTATCATGTTGAATGTATGCACAAATGCTAGAAAATTGTCTTTTATCATATTCGGTAGGTTGCCAGAATATTTGCGGATTCATATGTTTAGCAAAATGCGTTATGTGCTGACCAGTGCCAGAAGAAATTTCCAATATTTTAACACTGGGAAAACTATTTGTATTTTCTGGAACTTTAATTACATTTTTAAGTACTTCCAGTATTGGATTTTTGTTTCTTTCGGCTGCAGGAGCTTCGGATTTTATAAACATCGTACTAAATTTTAATTTCCGGGATCTAAAAAAAACTATTGAAAGTACTTATATTAAATAATATATAAAAATAAATATTATTAAATAAAATTTATCCTCTCAAATTTTTTGTATACTTCTAGTTAAATGATCCAGTTTTTTTTTTTTCTCTAAAACTTTTATCTTTCGTACACAATTAAAAGAAAAATCCTGAAAATAATGTTCATTTTTTTTTTAAAATAAAATCTTTATACTATTATTTAAAAAAAAAAAAAATCAATCGAATAAAAATATTAATGTTAAATTATTCATTTTCACTAATCACAATAATCCATTAATGAACACTGTATGTAAAAATTCTGCTTCCACGTCAAATATTATTCAAAAAAAAAAAAAAATTTCCCCCCTCCCCCCCTGTTGTTTCTTTATCGATTTCTTTTAAGATGATTGTTAATAAATAATAATTATTAAATATTTAATTAAACCTCTTTAATAATTATTAATTAATTAATTTGTAGAATAATTAAATATATTGAAATTTTCAAAAGGAGAATAACGTTAATTCCAATACCTTTTAACTAATCATCAGTTATTATATTTTTTTTTATTTTATACAAATACAATCACAGTAAAAATTTTTTTTATTTTCATTAAAATAAAATTTGCATAATTTGAAGCATTTATTAAACGATAACAATAAAATATTAATTAAAGGCGCGTATATAAATAATTTATATATATATATATTTTTTTTAGACTATTTTCCATTCATAAAAAAAAAACGTATACGAAATAATAATAATAATATTAATTAATTTCTATCAAAAATTAAATCTTCTCCCAAACGATGCCAACCTTCGTGTTTATGATCGGGAAATTTAATAACATCAATCCAATGTTTTAATCTTTCACCTTTTGACTTCCATCCAAGTTCTAAACCTCCTTTAAAAAAAAAATTTGTTATAATGTTTGACCTTGAACCAACTAATGGAAAACCTTTGGAAAATCATCTCACCCAAATAATCGTTACTTTTCCCATAATCTTTATCCCAAACCGTTAATATCAGGGTTTGCTTGGGTAAATCAGTCATTTTAGTTTCGAAAACGAATTCTTCGTTAAAAACCGGATTTAAATTTTTCCATTTGACCGACGTTTTATATTTTTTATGATTCGGATCCGAAGATAAATGCCTGGAAAAGACAAAAATTTACTAGTAGTGATAGTGATAAAAAAAAAAAAAAATTGATGACGTACAATTTGACGAAAGGATCCGATAGACCATTGTTATCCATCGGTAAGAGGTTCGTACACCTTCCGATGACGACAATCAATGCACGTTTTTTCGTAGAATAACATAAAGTTATTAATATTTTCCCTCTGTTCCAATTATCTTCTCCCCAAACTTTATTTTCATCATCGACCTTTAAAAAGAAACAATCAATCAGGCAAAAAGTTCAAATTAATTTCATTACATCACATTTTCATACTCACCTGATAATGTTTTTCTAAAAATACTGTTATGTGTTTCGTTTGTTTTGCTCCTACTCTGAACAAAGGAATTCTTGCCTCCCCCAAAAAATCGTTACCATATTTATCGTCATCTTAAAAAAACAAACAAATTATTATTATTATTATTATTATCAAAAAAAAAAGGTACAAAAAATGATCGTGTTCATTATCGTACCTAAAACTAAAATATGCAAAGTTTTTTTTTGTATGTCCATTTCTGTTATACCGTAAAAATTAACGGTTTCGTTAAATTCCGGATTAATGGTTTTATGTACGGTTTTAGTTTTTAATCTGAACGATGTCGCATTCGTTGGTAATATGTTTAATTTGCAAAAAGGATCCGCTAATCCGTTTATATCCGTCGCTCTGAGTCCTTTTCCTCTGTGAAGTGTACAATGTAAGGCTGAACGAACCGGATCGTACCAAAGTGATATTTCGAGAGTCCCGAGTTGAGCTGAACATTTATTTAAACACACAAAATATTATTATTATTATTGTGTTGGCTTCCAACAGGATGCGCGTGTTAAGAAAAATTTTTTTTACCATTTTTACCACCGATGAGACCTTCCGCTACGTCATCCTGATTCGTTTCCAACGAACTCGATAACGATAATTGATCTTCAGACCAATAATCTCGGGATAATGACGTTAAAGATTCTCTTCTGCTGTGACAAAGAAAAAATTAATAATAATAATAATAATACGTAAAAGATTTTAATCTTATGGTTAGAATTTTCTTTTTACCTCCATTTTGGTTGAAAGTTCAAATCAAGTAAAGAATCAAACGTATGAATGCTACTCTCTTGCGACATCCAATGATTGGCACCGAGTACCGACTGACTTTCAATTCTTCCGCCTAAACTTTTTTCACTTTCGGAAAAAAAATCATCGGGTGTTTCTCGCCGACTACAATTTCCACTTCCGCTTCCGCTTTCACTGGAACTTTCCAAATGACTTTCCGAAGAACTGAATTTATTCAATTTATTTTTTTCTCTTTTTTTATCTCCTTTTAATGGATATTTGAGAAACGATGTCGCTTTTCCAAAATCTATCGAAACTTTTTTCCGGTGTTTTTGTTGTATTTCTCCAGCGTCACCGTAATAATAAGACTCTGGATAACAAGCTGCCATCGTGTTTTGCATACCACCGGATGATGATGATGATGACGGTAAGTGCGAATGATGTGATTTTCTCATTGTCGTGTCTCGATAGGAAGATGCAGTTTTGTCTGATATTTTATCATCTTGAGAAAATTTTGGCAATGAATTATTGTATTTATCGAATCCTCCGAGACATTTCAAAGGGATTCGATTCGATGTCGGAGATTTGTCCGAATTTGTCGACGATATAAAATCAGATTTGTTTTTGTCGCAATTAATTGATAACTTGTCGTAGGATTGATTAACGGAAGACAAGTAACTCGTTTGTGATGCGTTAAGGGGTTGAGATTCGGAAAATGTAAAACTTGTTTGTCTGCTAAATGATGAACTTGTACTTTCTGAACTTTCTGCACTTATATCTCTCTGATACTTTTCTTTCGTACCTTGTTTTTTCTCTAACAAACAAGAGAAATTATTTATTTATTTCGTTTTAAATTATATTAAATAAAAAAAAAAAAAAAAAGGAAATAAAAAACCTGATGGTAAATTTCTTTCGCTTTCACCCATTCCGCTATCGCTGCTGGAATTAAAAAACAAACTTCCGGAAACGCTGGAAAATCCTTTTAGACTTTTTTCACACTGATTTACATTTAAACTAGAACACGTTCCTCGTACGCAACTTTTTTCTATATCCTCAATTGTTTTTGAACTTTTACCACCATTTTTATTCTTTTTACTATCGTTTTTATTTTGTAATTTTTTTTCAGCATCATCGCCGCTTTTTCCCGAACATGCTGGAAAAATATTTTACAAAAAAAAAAAAAAAAATTGTTTTTTTACCCCCCCCCCCACCCCATTTAACCCCTTCTCATCTTACAACTAAACATCATCCTGATCCGGTAACCCACCTGATAAATCCGTGTTACTTTTAGACCAATTATTTTTTTCCATTCCGATCCTAGTCATTTTTCTCATCCCGTATTTTTCCGTTTTTTTTTCCGGTAATGTATATTTGGGGAGTCCTTTGAAAAACCACGCACCCGATTTTTTCCACATTTCTCTTGTTTCCGAACAAATTTTACATAACCACAATGGTTCTTGATTCGATGATAATATTTCAATACCGCATTTTTCACAAACGAGCTAAAAAAAAAATAATTTTCAATCGATAAAACCTTTTTCGAATAACAACAACAACAGAAAAAAATTTAAAATTTCAACCGGAAATGATTTCGACAAAATCATTGAAAGAAATTTTCCGATGCAAAACTTTCCGTTTTGAAAATTTAAAATAAATACAACCGTTTATTATTATCATCATCATCAAACTTATTAACGAACTCGCTTATAAAAATTACACGTGTAACTAGTATATATATAAATTAAACGTGGGAAAATTTAAAAATTTTTCACTATGTATAAATACCCTGGAGATGGAAAATTAATGCGTGAAAATTTTCGTTCGTTAGAATTTTCCCGTCTATGTAAAGTAAACGACATCACGACTAATTGTTTTTATTTTTTATTTTTTTTTTTGTCGGAAAATTATTTTATTAAGATAAATCAATATAATGACGTCATTTAATCAGATTCGAATCGGATTTAATTTACAGGTGAATAATAATTTTCGAAAAAGCGAGAGAGAGAGAGAAAGAGAGAGAGAGAGAGAGAGAGAAAGAAAATCAAACGATAACGACAAAAATTAAATTGTTTATAATCGGTAATTGTTAAAAAAAAAAAAAAGGGGGGGATTATTATTGTTTTCTCTCTCTCTCTCTCTCTCTCCCAATTAAAATTTTTTTTTTTTTTTCAATTGGATCATCATCATAACGAAATGAATGTTTTCCCTTAAACCTTTTTCGTGTTAATTATGATTAATTATACATTTTTTTTTCTCTCTTTTTTCGTAAACGTTTTCCATTTATTTATTATTATTATTAAATAAAAAAGTGATAAAAACCTTTTTGCATCCGTAACATAAAAAATTTGACGTTCCAAACAATCGAAATGTATCACCGCATAATATACATTGCGTCGTACCATTTCCCATAATGTTTCTTTTCATGTTGTCCAACCTGTCTACCAAACGCCTATTTAACGAACAGAAAAAACGGTTACGATTAATTTTCAATTTACATTATATATATTTTTCTTTCTTTCTTCCTTCTCGATACGAGAAAACATATTTTAAATAAATGGCCATTTATTTAACACACGAAACATGAAACACACACATTAAATCAGTTCGTAGTAAATCTTTACGACTTTTTTTACGTAAAATATTGCTTTCACCGAAAAACATTTTTTTTTAAATATTGATTGTATTCCCTTCGAACCCCTTAAAATTATTATTATTATTATTATTATTATTTTTTTCTATAAAAATTTATTTGACCGTTAAAAAAAAAATTCAACCGGAAAGAGAAAAAAATAATTTGAAATCTAATATATTTTTTTTTTTTATTATTATTATTTGTTGTTGCATTTTAAAATTTTCCTTTTTTCCTTTTTGGGAGGAGGAGAGGTGGGAGGGGGGGAGAATTCGCGAAGCGCATAACGACGAATAATAATAATAATAATAAAAAATATTAAAAAAAAAAAAATTCAGAGTCCGAATTACAAGAGAATTAGAAGAGAGAGAGAGAGAGAGAGAGAGAGAGAGAGAGAGAGAGAGAGAGAGAGAGAGAGAGAGAGAGAGAGAGAGAGAGAGAGAGAGAGGAAAACTCATTAATTTCTTCGTGTCTTCTTCTTCTTCTTCTTCCTCATGGGAAATTCTTAAAAAAAATTTCACTAACTTGTAATTGAATCGACCGTATTTCTTTCTGTCTTTCTTTCTTTTACTTTCCAATTTTCTCCTTTTTTTTTTTTTTCTTCTTTATTAAACCAACCTTTTCCTTCCCTTCCTCCCTTCCCCTCCCCATCCTACTCCTCTCTCCTCCACTCTTTACTAATCCCTTCTTTACCTTTTCATCCCTTTATTCAATCCATACAACGCACAATCCTCGTAACAAACAAATAAATAAAGGAAAATAAAAGAAAACCACCACCACCACCACCACTACTACCACTACCGCTACTACTACTACTCACCCGACTCTTTCTTGTTCTCTTTGTTCCAATATTTCGGCCCTTTGTATAACTTTTTTTATAGCATTTTGTTCCATTTCGTTGAGGGATTGAGATTTTTTACCATATTCTTGTAAATCGTGTGTTTTAACCGACCATCCTGTGCTCAACCTTAATATAAAAATAAGTAAAAACATTAAAAACAATTTTCCCATTTCATTTTCCTTCGTTAAACTTGTAAAAGAAAAAATGTTAACAAACATTAACGTTCGTAAAATGAATTCAATTATAAATATAATAACAATAATAATAAAATTTAATAAAAAAAACCTTCGGGAGGGAGGGGGTCACACTTTCTCCCGTGGGGGGAAGAGAGGGGAGAACGGGGAGAGGGGGGTGGTGGAAAAAAGAAACCATAAATGAGAAGAAAAAAAATTTTTTCCCTCTTTATAATTGCTTTTTTTTTTTTTTTTTTAATTATTGACGTCGTTAAAGTTTCGTAATGGAGGAAAAAATGGAAAGAAAAGAAAAGAAATTATCATCAATAGGAAAACAACGTTAACAACACACGTGCACGTGTTGGAAAATTCATTTGTGAATAAATTTTTATTAATTTTTTTTTTTTTTTTGGAAAATGAAACTGGAGAAAAATAATAATAATAATAATAATAATAATAATAATAATAACAAAAAAAATAAATCCATGCGTGAATTTTTCCTCAAATTAATAATTTTCTGAATAAAAAAAAAAATGAAAAAAAGGAAAAGCATCGGATAATGAAATATGATGTAGAGAAAGAGAGAGAGAGAGAAACAGAGAGAAGAGAGAAGAAAAACAGAGAGAGAGAGAGAGAGAGAGAGAGAGAGAGA